AGTGGTAGAGCGCTTGCCTTGCATGCATGAGGCCCTGGGTTCGATTCCTCAGCACCACATAAGCAAAAAGAAAAAAGCCTGAAGTGGTGCTGTGGCTCAAGTGGTAGAGAGCTAGCCTTGAACTGAAAAACTGAGGGGACAGCGCACAGGCCCAGAGTTCAGGCCCCATGACCGGACCCCCCCCAAAAAAAAATAGATAGATAGATAAATAGATAGATAGGTAGGTAGATAGATAAGCTCATTTTTGTGTTTATTTTGCAGTACTGGAGATTTAACTCAGGGCAGTAATTACTAGGCAAGTATTCTACCAACTTGAGCTATGCTCCTAGTCCTCTCATAATTGTCTTTTCTCATTTTCAAACGAGTTTATTTTTTTTTGTTGAGTTGCAAGTTTTTTAAAATACACTCTAGATTTGAGATCGATTTATCCAGTACATAATATGCAAGAATTTTGTATGAGTTCCCTTTTTTTGTTGTTGATAGTGTCCTCTGAAACACAAAAGTTCTTAAATTGGATGAAATTGAACCTTCTTGTTTTTTTCCTCTTCTGTTGCTTGTACTTTTGATGTTAGAGTCCAAGGAGCCATCCAAACACAGATGCAGTCCTGTGTTTTCTGCTTACGGTTGCAATCATTTCTACTCAGGAGGCTGAAATCTGAGGATCACAATTTGAAGTCAGCCTAGGCAGCAAAGTCAGTGACACTCTTACTTCTAGTTAACCTCCAAAAAGTTAGCCACAAGTGGAACTCAAGCATGGTAAAGCACTAGCTTTTAGCACAAAAGTTCAGGAATAGTGCCCAAGCACTGAGTTCAAGCTTCAGGAATGACACACTAAGTTTTATAGTTTTTTTCTCTTAGATTTAGGTCTTTGATGAATTAATTTTTGCATATAATGTGAGATAAAGTGGGATTTCTTTTTTCTTATTCCCAATACTGTGTATTAAAGCTAGAGTCTTGCACATGATAACCAAGTATTCTACCACTGAGCCATAATCCCAACATGAGTTCTTTCTAATATCTTTTCTATGCCACCTAAAATTATTCTTTACACAATCAAGAAACTAATTAACAATATAGAAGATGCTATGTTTTCAGAAGTCATGAAGAATTCTCAAGCAGCTTTTTATTTAAACAGAAAAAGGGAAAGTACATTTAGAGAAAAGTATGAATTATGAATACTTGCCAATAACTGCCTGAAGGCTTGTACAAATAAATTCTAGTAAGAGAAGGGCCATACTACTTTAGATTGATCTATGAAGGCTTTCCCAAGTAGTTAGAATTTAAGCTAGAGTTATTAAAAAGGGTAAGGTTTGGCTGGACGCCAGTGGCTCATGCCTGTAATCATAGCTACTCAGGAGGCTGAAATCTGAGGATTGTGGTTTAAAGCCAGTCAGGGCAGGAAAGGCTGTAAAATTCTTATCTCCAATAAACCACCAGAAAATTGAAAGTGGCGCTGTGGTTCAAGTAGTAGAGTGCTAGCCTTGAGCTGAAGAGCTCAGGGACAGCACTCAGGCCCAGGTTTGTCCAAGATGAACAGAGGAAGAATGAGCATCAAGACTATGAGAACAGCATCAGGTGGCAGTGGCTCATGCCTGATCCCAGCTACACAGGAATCTGAGATCTGAGGATTGAGGTTTAAAGCCAGCCTAGCCTGGGCAGAAAAATCCATGAGACTTATCTCCAATTAGCCAGCTAAAAACTGGAAAGTGAGGTGTGGCTCAAGTGGTAAAGTATCAGCCTTGAGCAAAAAAGCCAAACGAGTGCAAGGTCCAGAGTTCAAACCCTAGTACTATCACAAAAAATAAAAAAGAAGCCTATGTGTCATACAAATCATGATAAGGATTGGTTTGCTAAGGGGAAATGACAGTGAGATTGGTTCTGTTGTTCATTAAGCAGACACTGCGCATCAGTACTGGGATTGCAACAGTAAATGAAACACCTTCCTCAGAGAGCATCAGGTAGAGCTGTGGGGAAAAGGCAGGGAGAGTAGAGTGAGGGAAAACTGGAAGAGACAGGTTTGTAGTCTTACGGAGGAGAGGGGACAGGGAAGTCCTCACAGAATATGAATGCTGGGCAAAAAAACCTAAAAGGTAGTGTTTTTTAGTAGTAGTTTTTAAACTAGGCATATTGACTTGTTAATAAGTTTATTTGACAATTCAACAATTTGTGAATTGGGTAGACTGAAAGTTCTGAAGAAGTAACTTTTGTAAGGTGTTTTGTGTGTCTGCACTCAAGTGCATGTAAGCACTGATTCTGGGGCTTGAACTCAGAGCCTGGACACTGTCCCTTAGCTTTCTCACTTAAAGTTAGGGCTCTACCACTTGAGCCACTGTTCCATATCTGAATTTTTGGTGATTAACTGGAGATAAGAGCCTCACACAGGGGCTGGGAAGGTGGCTCAGTGGTAGAGTGCTTGCCTTGCAAGCCTGAGGTCCTGGGTTCGATTCCTCAGTACCATATAAGCAAAAAGAAAAAAGCCGGAAGTGGTGCTGTGGCTCAAGTGGTAGAGTGCTAGCCTTGAGCTGAAGAGCTGAGGGACAGCGCCCAGGCCCAGA